AAGAGGAGCACCTGAGGGACCAAGCCATGAGATATCATGTGGTGAACCTACTCAGGTATGCCAACTTGTCAGGCTATGTCGCGATCAAAAGGATATTGTACCTAGGAAAATGGCAGGCTGGTAGCAGCAGGGAAAGTGAACCCAGGCTCGTCTTGGTAAAGTTCACCAACCCGAGACACAAGGACCGGTTTCTTGCTGTGGCTGACAAAATTGGGGCCACCACAAAAGTAGGTCTAACGGCGCAACCTGCAGGGAAAAATCGGCCACAGGCCCACCAGCAACACCGGGCTATAATACAAGGACACTAAGACATCCATTGCTGTTGGTAGACATGATGCAAGGGTCGTCTGAGATGAGTTTTTCGGGAGATACCCCTGTTCTAAATGTGCGCCCAGGTTAGAGTCCGTTACCCACTAGCCGCGGAACATCCGTGGCAGGTCTAAAAGCCCAGAAGAACCCGGGGGTACCGAGCAGAAAGAGGGTCCCACATCGAAGTGGACCAAAAAGGCAAAGCCCTCCGACCAAAGAAACGGTCGGGTGCTCGGACCTGAACTCCGAACGACACCACGACTCCCCTGTTAGGGCACATCCAGGGGAATTTGGGGCTACTTGTCACCCACACTAATGCAGCGAGGATAGGGAACAAGTGGCCTGCGATTAGGGGGCACCCTCAGGGAGCAAGTGTGATTGCGGTCACTGAAACGTGACTATGACCCGAGGAGAGCATAACAGCCCAGTGTCCCACGGGATACATTGAAAGCAGGGCTGATCGACTGGACGGTAGAGCTGGCGGTGGTGCCCTCCTGTTAGTGGGACAGCACTACGAGCAGTATGATGGTCCGCGGATAATCACACCTGACCTCCAGGTGGTGACGACCATAGTGAACTTGCCACACAGGGAAATAGCCATCTTGTACTGTTACCGCAGCCCTACATCCTCACGCAATGAAGATGAAACTCTGGTGGCTCTCCTCCGGGAGTTAGCAGAATCCTATCAGAGCATACTACTGCTGGGAGACTTTAATGCCCCTGAGGCTAACTGAGAGGACGGCACTGCCCCAAGAGGTCCCAGCTGAATGGTGTGAATCGATAATCATACCGATTAACAAGAAATGTGACAGGTCCTCCAATGAAAACCACAGGGGGATTAGTTTGCTCAACATTCTATCTAAACATTTCGCTGGTCTCATGCTCCGTCGATTGTTTTATACGTGAACTGTGTACGCGTGAGAACCAGGCTGGTTTCAGACCTGGTTGAGGCTGTATTGACCACATTTTCACACTTCGTCAAATTCTAGAACGTAGACACTCCTTTCGTAGACCCACCATTTCTATCTTCCTCGATCTAAAAGCGGCTTTCGACTCAGTCTGGCGCTGCCTTTCCCTGAAGGGAGTGCCCGAGAGGTTAATCGTAATATTACAACCGCTTTATACTAATAGCCGGAGCTGAGTCCGAGCTTACGACACATTTTCACCCGAGTTCAGCACGTTTCTATTTACCTTCGTGATAGATTCAATTCTTTAAACAGCCCTATACTTGTTCGAGGAAAGTGGTATCGATTTATGTGCGATTGAAATGGTTGTGATAACCAACAAAGAGCACTGGAGAGCTATTTCGTCTTGTTTGGGACTCGTCAGCAGTGCGTACTTTTTGTGTCCCTGTCAGTACTCGAACCGCGGTTCTTCGGGCCGAGACTTCAAAAATTACCCGGTAGATGGTTGTCACCTTGTGCGAATGGCTCAATCAATTTTGATGGTGTGTTTGGATTAGCCCATTCGGTATCGATTTACTTCCAGGTGGCAGACTGTCTGATCTAGAGTATGCAGAGGACATTATGCTACTAAGTGAAGATCCGGATAAGTTACAAGCTTTTCTGGAAAGTTTGAGTGCTAGCGGGTCCATGTTTGGTATGCGATTTGCACCTTCAAAGTGTTAAATGCTACTACAAGACT